CTATAGGAGGAGCTTATCAAGATAACACAGAGCAGCTGGTTATATTTAGCATCACTTTCCCTTATCAGCTGATAAGCACATGGCTAATCTTATAATCTGTTGACCATTGCTTTCTACAATTTACCAGTTTAAGACTGTGTGAAGGTTAACATATGTTTTATTTAATAGCTTTCAAATAATTAAATATAGTAGTGAAAAGACTTTCTGATAAATGACTCATACAAAATTACAAATTTAAAAAAGCTACCATCTGATAAAGTATTTTTTTAATATGATGTCAACAAAATTACTAGTATTTGTAACAATTGATTATACCCTTTTGAATAAGTTTTCACTGTTACAACACAAACAGAATGTCACTTTTTGTAGAATGCACTAATAATTTTATCCCACAAGATAAGTGTAAATTTATTTGTTTTAGGCACAAGGTTTTTATGTCCAGATCTTGCTCTTGGTCGTCTAGCATCCTCATAATTACTTATTGAAGTATACTCGCGATCAACATTCTCATTCCAGTCTAGAACAGCCATATGAGATCTGCGTTTGTATTCCTCATCACCAAATTTAATCCGTTTATCGTGATAAATAAGAAGAGCATTATTAAAGGATTCAACATAATGAGTGTCAAACAGTTGACATAATCATCTGGTGTTTTGTAAATTTGAAGTTTTCTTATTTCATTTCTCAAAATTCTCTCTGCATCTGAATCCTTAAGAATGTGTTTGGATGGTTCATAGTTGGGATCACATTTACATCTTGACTCTGTGGAACAATTTTCATGATTATTTTTATAATGTTCAACTATGTTGTCCAGAAATTCTCGGAGTTTCTTTGATGATCCTTGGCAGTTTTTCATGGCATAATAAGTATGTGTTTTAATAGATGCAACTTTATCTGAAAGATCCGGATGCCAAGTGATGCCTCTGTATTTCAGTGGACCATTTGCAATTTTCTTCATTTCCTTGCTGACATTCTTGCTTGCGTGCCATGTATCATTTGCATTTGTTACGGAAGGCTTATTCTCGGACAAATATTTGTTAACACTTGCATTTCTGTCATGACCATAAAGGTTGACAGAAACATCCTTCTCATCAAAATGGTTGTAAAGAAGTTCAACTCCTTTCATTTCATGTCTCTGACTTGTCTTGTTACAACCTCCAATCCAACAACTCGATGGTGTGTTTGGCCTAATGCAACAACATCTGATTGGGCTGCATTTCTTCTCCAACCATGGCGGGCATCTGTCATGATATTTATTCCATTATACTGGGTTTCATTTTCTTCTGATTTTAGAATTTCTGTTGCTACTTCTTCATTGATTGCCTCAGTTACTGATACCTCAGCCATATCTCTAGTAACAGAACAGTATAGATCATGTTGGCTTTCAAATGCACTCTCTGGTATAACCCCTATATTTCCAGCATCACACAGTCTCTTGTATTGACTGTAGCGTAATCCTGTTGCATAGACAGAATGCACCATTCTCAAATTTACGAGAAACATTCCACCTGGCAAATGTTGTGATGAATCTGACGAAATCAAGTGGTTTTCCTTGCAGGCAAATGTCACCTTAGCAGTATGACCAAACCTTTGCAATTTCTTTATATCCAAAAACTCCTGACAAGTTTGGCCATGATGTTGAATTCCAGAGCAAATGTTTCTCATTGCGGAATAAGATGTTAAAAACATATCCTCATCTGTTGTTTTTGGTCACATGGTAAATAAGGCTGAAAGTTCAGTTTTTCCTCTTGAGGTGCATTATCTATTAATCCATGCATTTGGATGAAAAAGTCAAACACACTGTTCAGTAACTGCTCATTTGTTACAGATGACACTTTTTCGGCCAAACAAAGTTTGATTTTGTCCATTTTGTTGTAAACAGTAACCTTTTCTTCTTCAGATTTAACATAAAATCTAATACATCCAGTAACAAGTGGTTTTTCTTGTACTTTGCGCCTTTCATTCCGCACTTTCATTTCTTCTCCAGCATCAGATCTTCGTTTCTTTCTCCCTTGTTGTTCTCTATTCTCATCTCGTATTCTCTTTGGTACTTGTTCATCCATCTTTACTTACTTCTTTATCATGTAATAACAGATTTTGTGAATATGTAAGTAAATTGTGTGTCAAGTCAGCAGGTGGTACCAGCCCTACTATGGTCAGTGGGGGTGCCATAGGGTAGTCAGAATGATTTCTGTATTAAGAACTCATTATCATATGCTATCATATTTGTTTCTTATTTAATTTTCTTATAATGTTTTCTTTAATTTTGCCTTGTGCCCTTTTATTTTTATAACTTACTAATTATATAACTATGAGAATGTGCAACTTGGTAAAACAAAATTGTGGCCTCCTTTATATTACTCTGCATCTCTGACCATAGACATGTTTACTTCATTAGATAGAGGGTAATGTAAGGGGGTATATTACATGATTTAGACAATGTTATTAACAATTTGAACATTACATTTTAATAAAAATCGAACAGCAGTACAAAAAAATTAAAATATTTAAAAATCATTTAAAAAAAAAAAACTTTATGGACAGCATTATGCACTACATTTTGATGCTATCATACCCTTGACTTAGTCAACTCTTCCACAGTACATGCTGTGAAGTTTGGCGGGAAGATTTTTCAGTGGTCAATCAATTTTCTTTGTTTTGACCATTCCATTGGAAGCCATATCAGTGAAGGAGTTATCGTGTTTTTGCTATTTTTTTGTTATGTCTGAAACAAGGAGACAAGTTTGTTTGAATCTTACAGAAGTTGAACTCAATTCTGTCCAAGCTTTGTTTTCACACAGTGAATGGGATTTTGATTCTTGTGTTGTTTTTAATAACTGGTCAGAGGGAAATACCGATGAAGAGATAAGACCTGCTGTAAACCAGGAGATAATAGTCTGCAACACAAGTGAAAATCCTGGCCAGAATGAGGAGCAGCAACCAGCGGGTGGTAATTCTGGACATGGAGATGATGATGAAACACCACAGGTGAATGACCAGGAATGCATGTATTGTTTTTGTCATCCATGTGTAACTACAAACAGACAGAGTTGGCTTGGAAACGGTTCACCACCTCATGTTAGGAACTCCGCAATCAGGAAAACCAAACACAAGAAATTCTGGACAATGATGTCAAGAAGATATGCGTGGAATCATCCGCGATACATTGCTAAGAAGGCTGAAAAACTTAATCAAGGTGACTGTGAGAATATAGTGTAGACACTCAGAGAAATAATGCCTGAATGTGTATTATCTTTAGTTAGGAATTTATATCCTAATCCTTCAGGAAGGCCATACATGGGACACAAGTGGTTATAATACTCTAAATATTATGCAACTAATGTGCATTAAAACCTTTATTTTCAATAATAAGTATGACAAATATAATATTTTTGTTTTGAATATTGATTGTGTATATGGATTTATTCAATTCAGCAAGGAATGTCAATGCAGTAAGTGGCTAATAAACTTGTTTATGAATCCACATGGCTCTGTTTATTTACATTTCTGCTTTGTTCATTACAATTCAATATGACCAGGGGTCAACTTGCCATATATAGAGCAGAGGTAAATTTGAAATCTGTTCACTTCAGATGTTTTGATGTATATTTTGGCATATAAAATAATCAATTAATGAATATTTTTACATACTGGAATAACTGAAAAGGAAATGTACTACTGTGCCAATTTTTGAGCCAGTACAACATATTAAGATGTGATTACGTTTCAAAACATCTCTGCTCAGCTGAACATGTAGGATAATATGTGATTTTCAAATTTAAGCTCCTCCCATTTCCTTTTATACTCCAGGCCTGGGTTTAAGGAAATCGTAAGTGAAAAATCTGTCATAACTTTACGAGAGCCCCAACCCTCTTTTAAGTATTTTAAAACCGATTTTATTGAAAAAGTATAACCGCAAAAACCAAAATAATAATAATTCAAGACTTTCATTCTTAAAATAATAATTTTTCAAGACTTTCAATCTTAAAAAAATCAGCAAAACAAACAAAAGAAAATTGTAATAAATGAAAGTATGTATTTTTTTTTTTTTAGCAAAGTTTAAAATGGATCTCTGTTCATATTTTCATTGTTAAACAGAAATGAATCTTCTAATTTGCACGCAAACAAGTTTGTGCTTTTTCTTCTTTGTACCGTGTTAGAACTAATGTTTGTAAAAAATAACCTGTTAAGAAATACAAACCCAAAAACTGCTCAAAAGTAATATGTCCTGATAGGTGTATGTATAACTGTTTAAGGTTATATCGAAAGAGGGCAAAGGTTTTGCACTTGTCATATGGAACGTTGTTTAATTTTGTTTTTTTTTTTTTTAATCCAGAGACAGAGGGGTCAAGATATATCTCGCACGGAGATAAAAGCATTTACAAAAGCATTCGCTGCAATATGTTAATTAAGATAATCTTATTTTATCCATTTAATGTTTTTGTTTTTATTTTGCAAGACGCGGTAGTCTACCTATGAAAATAATTCTTCTTTCGTGAACAAGACGAGTGATAAATGCTTGGAAAAAAGCAAAATTAAGACGTCTTTTAACGCTGAAATTACATAGAGTCTATTTATTTCTCTGTCCATTTTATATACGAATAACAGAAACACTTTTAATGATTTTATGTTCATTCCAATGCATGCTGAAAATGGAATCGGACGTAGAATAGCCTTGGGCTGTAACCCTGAAATGATGAATGAAAAGATTATTTGATTTTGAGTATTACTTGAAGACCACGCAGTGCACTCCTGAGAGAGTTTTCCTTAATAAAATGTATATTAGAATTAATTCTTAACTTTATTTACATTGTATTCATGGTGAAACAATTAGAAGAAAAATAGTAAGAATATTATTTTTTCTCAAATACCCCCCCCCCCCAATAAAATTATGCTTTTCATTAATTTTTTGTAAAAAAAAAAAAAGTAGAAGATTTATAAAAATATTTTTCAAGAATTTTATTTAAAATTTAAAATGCATTATGACTGTGACATAGCAATGTTATTTATCATAAAATCGTTTCAATTGTTATTTAGGGTGAAACTGTTTATTTGTAATATAGACTCTTTATCAAATTATGTGCACATCAGTGTTATCTTACGGATCGTTGTCTACTTGTGTTTTTCATTCCCGAGACTAAAAAGTCAAGATATATCCCGAACGGAGATATCGTCATTTACAAAAGCAATTGCTCTTCATTGATATATCGATAACTCCAATAACAACTAGAGCCTTGATTTTTAGAAGACTCATTCTTTTTTCATCTCTCTCAATAATTTTCTATAATTCTGCAGTCTTTCCCGAATTTGTTGCACACTGTCAATTCCTCGAATCATGTCTGCGGCTTTTTCTGCAATCATGATCGTTGGAGCATTTGTATTTCCTGAAATAACATGGCGCATGACGGAAGCGTCGACTATCCTCAGATTGTTCACACCCCTTACTCTGTAAATGTTCAAAAATTGCTTAGAAAATGGCAGAAGTATTAATATTTGATTTTAAAAACATTTTTTATCTCTTATACTTATGAAAAACATCCATTAGAATGCCATATTGTGAAAGATTTATTGAAAAGAAAACTCAGCAGGGTTATGATATTATATATATATATTAAAAAAATTAATTCACATTACAAAGATTATATTAAACATAATAACGTACACCTGAATTTTTGGAGCGATATTCATTATTTAATCATTAACGGATTTTTCTGTGCTTAAAATGATTATCAATCTTTTTTTTCCTATAAAGTTTAGAACATAAAATAACTTTTTTGGTCTGTTTTTTCCTATAGCAAAACTTCTCCTTTGGGTGTAATATTGAAACGAATTTCGGAATCAAAATCAATAATCCCGTCCTGTCCTCTGGAAGCTTAATGATAAGTATTTCCTGTTTAGTTTACCCTTTCGATCCTCAGAGATCACGTAATAATAGGGTATATAAGTAGCGATAGTAAAGATCTTAGTCAGTTGCAGAATGAAGTCGAGAGAAGTCAGTTGGTTTTCAGCTAAGGCGAAGAACATGAACATGCTTATCAAGTCTTATATGCCTGTATAAGGCTTTTTAGACTTTGTTGTGTTTTTCTGCAAATTGGTAAATATTTTTGTTTGCTTAGCTAGGAAGCGCAAGCGCTCAAGGACAGAATTGGACATTGTAAATATTGTTAATTAAAATCCTTGATTGAGAGGTTTAAATAATTTAATTGATTTATCCCTTTAATTGTTCATGCAGAACAACAGAATCCTCAAACCCAGAAACGTTACAATATGTGCTATTCACTCCCAAAGATTTTTAATTCAAATGTTGACTTATAATTTGATTTCCTGCAATATAATTGATTTGAGGGTTTTCCAACACTTATAGAAATATTCCACAATACTACACAACACTACATAGTATCACTTCCCATCTAGCTTGTAACACGGGATTTGATTGGTAAGCAAGCGGGATGTAAATTTCCGTACACCGGACTTGAGTCGGGGTAAATAACGTGACGACTAAATACATATTTTCTTTACCACAAAAAACAAATACATGACGTGAAGATGCATTTTAACAGGTTGGAAATACCAGTGGCATACTTGATTCTGCCGATCCGGCGTGCCTGGATAAACCGGCGATGGCCAGCGACACACTTGATTCTGAGCCGGTATTACACACACATCAAACCGGCTGAGTCGATTGAGCCAGAAATATATTGTCAGTCTCAGGCGGCTCCATCACAGCGTTCTTAAAGATTGTAGTGTTGAATTTAATAGTTTTGAGTCTTGATGCTTTTGATCAAGGTACGCTTGTGCATTGTTTTAAGTACAGTTTTACCATTGATTGATTGGGTTTATGTTGTTAGTCCTGTTCGAGAATTTTTCACTCATATAGAGACTTCACCATGAACCAGTGAAAGGCTTCAAATTTAGTCCTTTACTCGGCACTTAGGGCCATTGAGCAGTGAGGGTTCTTTATCGTGACAACGCATACCGTGGCACGGGGCCTCGATTTTTAAGATCTCATCCGAAGGACCCGAAACTTTCACTTCAAAGTGCCGAGCGCTTGGCGAATGAACAGTTGTTACCTATTTTAAGGTCAGTCGCGGCCGTGATTCGAACACACGACCTTCCGATTACGGAGCGAGCGCTCTGCCAACTGAGTTACCGTGACGGCTTATAGTTTTTACTGTCACGTTTTCGACCCGAGTTCAAATATTGCTTGTATTTCGATACCATTATTATGTATTTTGTTTATCCTACAACATTGTTTTGCATTTGAACTACAAAACAACGTATTTTCAAAAATTTGGGCATATTTCAGCAGTTTAAACAACGACACCATCTGACATCACAATGCTTTTAAGGACGTCGGAGTTCACGAAGCTATATATCGGCATTGACCAAATATAGCTTTGGTTTATTAGGTTACCTTTATTTCGGCTTTGTACGCGGTGGTTTCAGGATAAATAAAAATTCTTTAGATCAATAAAATAATTTTTTTGCACAGAATATCTACTATTATTGTATTAACTTATATTTGAATCCATCATGGGATCTTCTCAAAAGAATTCTTTTAAATCACACACCTTAGTTGTGGATCAACAACAGCTGTTTTATCGTAAGCTGCTCCCATTCTACACGTGGAGGTAGCGTGATACGTAGGTAAAAAGTTGAGCGCCAATCTACATCTCCAGTAATCATCTGATTCGTATGGAAAATATTTACAGTAAAGGAAATAATTTTCATCATAAGGATCCAATGGTGATGCGCCAACGGATCTAAATGCTGTTGTATTTGCTAATTTTAATAGTTGTTTTATTCCTACAATAATAATATAAGGTACTTTAGAATCATTATTGTTCGTTGGGGAGCAATGATCTTTAAAAAACATTGGATTATCAATCTGGATCTTGATTGATCGTGAATTTGAAATAAAACCACAATTTGGCTTCTGGATGATATTCTAGTAGATAAAAAATGATGAACACTAGTTAAAAAAATGAAAAAAAAAAATGAAAAGAGAGACTGTTTTTTTTTAATCCTTAGACACCTTAAAACATATTTCTCATTAAAAACAATGTTAAACCATTCATCACACAATATTTCCATTTAAAAATGAGTATTGAAGAGATCTGCACCGGTACCTGACTAGGTGTAAATATGTTTACAGGAGTAAATGTATGTTAGTTACAGCAAGAAAGTCCCACATGAGTTGTTAGAAACATATGTTAGTTACAGCAAGAAAGTCCCACATGAGTTGTTAGAAACATATGTTAGTTACAGCAAGAAAGTCCCACATGAGTTGTTATAAACATATGGAGTTTTTTGCATATGAGTAAAGAGGTATATAAAGACGCAAAATAGTATTCAGAACAAAACAAATTTGCAAACTGCTGATAGCATCAAATATTTAAGCTAAAACACAGCCACAAAGAACATTTAGAACAGAAGCTGTGTTTGATTATTTGTACTATGTATTAATTAGTATAATAAAGTGTCAAAATCTACCTTTTATCAGCATTTTCATATCAGAAGGATGATCTAAATAATTGGGGTCTATACGGGGCGAATCAAACGGATCACTACTTTGAAGTTGAATCTTCCCTCTACTTTTAGGATGAAGGAGTATACACTGTACCAGAAATGAGCTATGTGGTTTGTTGTTGTGACCCTGTTTTAAAGTACAATACACATGTCTTTAATCCGAAATTGTTCTAAACGGACGGAATGTAATTTATGAAAATCATTACGAAAATATAATTTTTGACTATTTGAAGAAAAAACACAACACCAAATATGAAAAGTGTATTCTTGTTAATGCAGAAGTTATTTGGACAATAAATTTAATTTCATTGGTCATTTGCAAAATTAATTTTGTTTAAAAAATTCTGATTGTACACGGACGTACTCCGAAGTTGATATTAAAAATGATGCTTGAGTTTCTTATTAACAAAACCTATGTACTGTTGGTTTTTCATTCTAATATTTTTCCAAAGATAATTTTCCATTTAATTTCAAAACAAGTTCTCATTAAGTACTTTTTCAAGCTCATGTATTAATTCATATAAGTATTTAGCAAAAGTAAGTTAAGACAACAAAACATTTGATTATTGACCTATTATTTCAATTACCTAATAGATTAAGAAAAAAACAATGATTATAAACTAACAAGTGAGATTTATCATAAACAAAATTATCCCAGCTTCCCCGTCCTACACTTCCCTTATTCATGCAAGAATATACCATTTTCATCTGTATTTTGGGTTTATGTATCCTAGTTGATTCGGTACACAGGAAAATGTTCTACGCTTGATCAATTTCTAAAACGAGGCAGACTTCTAACAAATAAGTTTATGATAAAAGGATATCACAAATATCATGTTAAGACAACATTTTGCAAATTCTATCACCAATACATGTATACATAGCTCGTTTGCAAATACAATCTATTGTGAGGTCGAACATGACTGATGTCTTTCATGCGGTAGCGGGCAATTGTTTTCGCACTGAATTGTCTGATCGAACCACACTATTTACCTTCGGTCTGACTGCCTGCAAACAGGGTACTAGGTCAGAGCCCTATCAATAAATGAATATTTTTGCCAAAAAAAAAAAAAAAAAAAAAAAAAAAAAAAAAAAAGATCTGGAACATGTGCAGAATTTTAATTGGGACTGTTCAATTTCTACCTGTACGAAAAGTTGCTTCTTGACCTTGTTACTGTAAAATCATATATTTTCGTGGGGTCAAATTTTCGGGGCTTGAGCAAAAAATATTGGTTTGTGGGGATTTGATTTTGTGGATGGAGAATGTTTAGTAGTAATGCTCATGGAATTTTACACTTCGTGAGGGTCATAAATTTGTGGGTCTGTCCATGCCTCAAACACAACGATAATTAAGCCCCCTCGAAAATTTCACAGTACATCATAAAGAATAATTTCAATTAAATTATGGGTCTACAATGGAGATAAGGTACATGAAGTCTGCATTCAATCACTGTATTATTTTGCTAAATTTGTCGAAGTTAACATATCCTTATTTTTTTATCCAAATAAAAGTGCAGGAACACCACTTATTTTGACGGTCTTGGTAACCACTTTAAATCAATATGTATTGTCTGACTGCCCAACAATCGTAATCACAAGATATAAGTAATCATACACTATTTTTTTTTAAATCTGTCAATTTATATTGAACCCACGAGAGAAAAAGAATTAAAAAAAAAACCCTAGGACTCAAATTCCTGAATAAATAAATAAATAAATAAATATAAGAATAAATCTAAAAATAAATTAATAAATAAATATATATATATATATAAAAAATCAGCGAAGTATGATTGCGATAAATAGAAATATTATGGCTTTATCCCATTTTCTTTCAAATCTGTAGTTGATTTGAAAAAGTTTCAACTTTTAAAGTGAAAAAATCATCAAAATTCTTTGAACTCAAACCTCTATTGTTTTAATTAACCGATCGTCCAGAGGAGAAATTCCTGAAACACTGTAAAAAGACAGTTGTAAATATGGAACCAAGTTGTCATCATCATTGAGAAATGCATTCGCTTCAATGTGTGTTTTGCTTAAAGGACCTACAAAAAAGATAAATGACAAAAACCACAATAAAAAAAACAAATTCATCACTGAAATTATGTTAAAGAGAGACGAATGAGCTTCTAAAATATGTGTTACTTTTATCGTTATACATATATATTATATATAAATGAAAGTGAAATATAAATTATTAACTTTAATTCACCTCTTTATGGGATATTTTGGTTCATGCCTCGTTTCTCATTATACAATATCTGAAAAGTCTTGTCTCAACATTTGATTATATACTTCTCAAAAAGTTTAGAATCACCTCTATATAAGTCTTTGATACAATGATAACATATAGAAGTTAATCAAAGTGGTGGATACCGTTCAATGTACGTAAGTATCCTTATCAAGATTATCTAAACATCTAATAACAGCCTTGCTTAAAAACAAAGTTGGATCTTCGAAAGATTTTATTGTTCACGGGAAATAAACAACCTTTCATAAGGGGGGGGGGGGGCTTAATTAGGTTTGTTATCTAAACAAGTTACCCAGGATTATATCATGTTCAGTCATTTTTAAACATCATCTTACAGAGTGAAAAAAAAATGACATCAGCATTGTTAAGCGACCTACGTAAGCGACGTCTCCGTCTCCACTGGTACAGACGACACCTCATATGCAATCAGAGGACTCTTGGTTGCTTCTCTGATGAAAGCAATTTAATCTTTGCCTCATTGATAGCAGAGTTCTTGTATATCGGCGTCTTGAAAAAAGATTTTCTTACGCCTTTGTTAGGGAGCATGATTGCTACACCTTCTACCAGAAGAACCCCATTTTATTCTATTGATGAAAATTTTACATCTCGTCGCTAAGTTGACGAAATTTGCAGTTAATTGTTCCTTCTTTTTTTTCAATCGTTAGAAGAAAAAAAGCATCTTCAAGCGCGTAACACCATACCCCATAGTGAATCGTAATGAAAAAGGGTGACAATAACTTTAAAGAACAGTGATCGATCTCAAAAATATTTAAACAATACAAATCTGTGAAGAGGGCACAAACACGGACCTCCAGAATTTTGAGAGGCGGGATCAGGAGCCCCATCCCCTGTAGACCGTTCACACCCGCCGAGAGCCCTTTGTATGACCAGGTAGACGGAACATTCCGTAGTCAAATTCAGTATAAAATGAATGCCTAACAATTGGTATAAAACAAGTCAGCCAAAATACGACTCAAGGATAGGTTACGTAAAGAATGTTATCCAGTAGAATATAATAACGAGGATCCAATGAAATTAAATATACCGGACACAAGCCCTATCGATTCATCTGTGATGAACTTGGAAAGCGAGTGTAAAGGTCCATCCCTCCAACCACCATCAACGAGCTTTTGGACTGCCTTGCAAAATAGTTAACAACCCCTAGGCTACCGTTAGGGTTTGTATTCGAAGCATAAGTAAGCTTTTGTGCAGCCTGTATTAACGCGCATGGAGGACACATGTGCTACTGAAGTGACATTTCACTATGTGTGACTTTGTAAGTTGACGTTGTCTTTGAAATGTTGGTCGTTAAACTGTTTGCGTTTGGAATGATTTTTCTCTCTATTAATCCATCCACACTTTATTTCATGACATTATGCCCTACTATTTTTTATTTTATACAATTTGTTAAATTGTAGAAAGTGAATAAAACTTATTCTAAATTTTTTGAGTAGTATATGCTTTAACTGGGGAATATTAAATGTAGGTTACAGTAAAACTTACTCATAAGGGATTCTCTAGGACCTCGAAATCGTATCCCAGAGCTATTAAAGATTACAATTTAATTTAAACACCGCAATTATGTTTAAAAAATAAAATTTTACCCGACTTTGAGAAACCGTAATCCAAGAAAGATATGGCTGAATGGCTATATGCTGAACTTGTATTATCTCTGAATGACATATGTACGTTAATGTGATCCTCTAAGTTTTCCCCAACAGGCAGATCTGCAACCAGTGGGACCTGTTATGGTGTAAAAACTTTATGATAACAGGTAATCGTAACAATATAAAAAAACCTTATACACAACTGAGGAATTAAGATCTAAATATAAGAAGTATCAACAATAGATCTAGGTTACTTGATACTTAACTACGTGTGATACAAGGAAAATTAAAAAGAAATTCAAGGATTGAAAAGAGAATAAGAATATATAGATCGTCATTGTTATACAGTAGAAGCGGAAACTGGCAAGGAGGTTAAAAATTAAGACAGGGTTATATCAGATCCTCTTAGTAAATCAAATGTTGGGGATAGATCTTTCTATCAAACACATCTTGCCAAAGTCCTTTACGCCATTTCATAGAACACTAATATGAGATTTTTTTTATCAAGTAATAAGGTCTATATTTTTATTATTTAGTAATTTATGTTAAAACATTCAAGGGGCTGATATTTCTTATGTATATTTTCGTACAAAGCTTGGTTTTATTGTTTGGAGAGACTATAAATTTGTAAATTTGGATTAGAATCTATATGAGGAGCAAACAATTTGAAAAATCGAGGAATAATTTTCTTACCCCAACTGATTTTAGATTCTCCATAGGTCCGATACCAGACAACATCAGAATTTTCGGCGAGTTTATGGTTCCAGCAGAAATGATGACTTCTTTTTCTGCTTTTATCTCGTATTTTTCATAATTTTTCACCATCGATATTCCCACTGCCTTCCTATTTTCTATTAATATCTGAATATTATAAGTGGAGAATTTATTTGATAACCAAAAATCTCTTGAATTCATTTCACGATAATATTTTATATTAAATCTGGAAACATGAAAGATTTTGAAATTTCGTAATGTTTATCTAGATATCGATAGATATAATGTCCCTCCACATACATATTTTCATTGTTTCGCTTGACTTTGTTCTTCGGAGTACTCGGTTAGGGTATACCGTCGCGGTAGCTCAGTTGTTAGAGCGCTCACTCCGTGATCGGAAGGTCGTGATTTCGAATCTCGGCCGCGACTGACCTAAGTCGACAAAAAAAAAAAAAATGGATAGCAACTGTTATTTTTTCACGTTGACGTGAAAGTTGCGGGTCCCTCGAATGAGATCTCAAAACCGTGGCCACGTGTCACGGCAGGTGCTGGCACGATGACGATCACTCACTGCTCAATGGCCCCGAGTGCCGAGTAAAGGTGTAAATTTGAAGCCCTTCACTGGTATATGGTGATGTCTCTATATGAGTGAAAAATTCCCGAATGGGACGTTAAACAACATACAATCAATCTATCGCTTAGGGCATGGGCAATCTTTGATAATGAAACTCACCGTTATGTTTATCATCAAGTAAAGTTGTGCATGCAACATTGATTGAGCTTTGAAAAGAAATCAATTCGAAGTTACATTCGCTTTTCTTGCTGAAGCAAAGTTTTTCTTAATGATTCGTCTGCTTATTAAAACAGTCAGTCTGAAAACAGTTGAGACTGGCTTTCTATTGCCACTACTAAGTACACGAGTAAATACCATCGCAAATAATCGCAGAATAGATTAGTAAATAGTCCGAGACAATTCAGAAGTGTAGAGACTAGTTTGTATTTGAAAAAAAAGTCAATGAATTCAAAACGAGGCAGGAATAATAATATTAAAAAATCATATTAAGTTTTAATCCCCTCGATGAACTAATCAAATAAAAAAAAAAACATACCTATTTGTTATACCTTTAAAAATTTGTTCCTATGTAAATCAATACTAATAAAAGTCTGACATTTCCAATGTTTTACTGAGCGGGCATAAAAAAAATTGATGTTTGACCGCGGAGTGAGATATTGGACCTGTCGATGAGATGTTGGACCACTTACGTCACATAATGGGCGGAGTCAGCTAAATCTCATTTGCATTCGTTGGTGGTCGACATACAAGTATGTCAAAAAAAATTAAATAAATAAATAAGAGGTATAACAAAACATATATTGACCGTGTTCTCGGGCAAAATGCGTTTTGTCGACCCCTCGAACCAAACTGTTTGCCTTCAGCCTAACGACCTCAGGCAAACAGTTTGGTTCTTGGGTCCGACAAAACCCATGTTGCCCTCGAAGCCAGTCAATAAATGTATAATACTATACCTGAAGTAATGCACAAATATTCAAATGAATCTCCTCTTATTTTTACTCAATCGTTTAAAAACGGTTTTAAAACGTAGTAATATGATATTTGATTTTTTTTACCTTTGTAACATACGAGTTTGTTACCACGTGAAGATTTGGACGGTTCATGGCAGGCCTAAGGAAAGCTTTGGCGGTGCTCCACCTTTCTCCGTTTCTCACAGTCTCTTGCCCAATGCAATAGCCTTTTATTGTTTAGAAAGAGACGAATTTAAATTTGATATAGGAATGAAGATAAAACACTGTTAGGGTATTTTTATTCTATTCTTACTTGTAATATACCTAACGATGTAACTTTGCTCCCTGAAAAGGGTTTCCTCCTCCACAACTTAATCAAACTGTGGAGAGGACTTACATAGGCAGTGCCTGCTATTAAATCCTTTTATGATAATTCGTAATAAAATATTGTTTAAATTAAAAATGAAACAACTTAATCAACATATATAACTATATAATGCAGTCGATTTGTGTGAAAGGTTCTCTTCCGTCACAAATCAAAGACAGCAGACTTTTGAAGAAAAGAATGTTACCTCCAAACTCATTATATAATAATATGTAACCTATTTGTGTCTTTCCATTACAGTCCACAACCTGGTATCCCATTTCTTCCATAGCCCTCCTATATACCTTGTCGCTGAGATTCGTGGCTGTTCCTTCACTGACAGTCAACGGGCCACCCATTCCATGATACGCTGTACAGATTCATAAAATTATTATTTTTTTTCGGGAGGGACTCAGAAAAAAATAAATTAACATCGAGGTTAATAAATACCTTAAAATCTGTCTTTAAATTGAGATAATTTCTTTTGAAAATAAATATAACAAGATAAAATAAGATACATGAATATCTCAAGCTTGGTATCTGCATGTCTTCAGACTTGATAAAATACGGAAGAACATCCTTGTAACTCCATCCATCTGCACCCTCTCTGGCCCATTTATCGAAGTCATGTCGACTACCTCTTATATATTGCATATTGTTTATAGAACTTGAGCCACCGAGAACACGCCCTCTTGGCCATGTGCATTTCTAACAACAAATTTCATTTAATTGATCATTCAACAGAAAAAAGAATCTTTACACATGGTCCTTAAAGTATGAGTTTAGCGATGATCCTGATTCAGAAGGAAAATTTAAAAGAATCTGTGACTAGTGCTTGTTAAATTGCATATTTCTTGTTTTATATGCAGAAGAAGAGCAATTAATCAACAGATACAATTATTTCCAACGTAATATTTTTCATTGTTTCGATTTTCAGAAGGAGTTAAACATACAGCTCACATTCCTATCAAATAGAGGTTTATACATCATTTAGGAGAACGTAAATAAATAAAATATACGAAAACCTTGCGTAAATTACTATATACAGGGAATTTTTCACCCTTTTAGCCCTACTCACCGGTGGGCGAAATTAAAATGGGATGAATTGAAAGAACACAGTATGATTTGTTGAACAGAACTCTGACTGGGCGAATTTAAAACGGGGCAAAATTGTTTGCAAGTGTGAATGGGCGAATTTAAAACGGGGCGAAAATATCCCTGCATACAGTATTTTTGCGTACAGGTTCATGTATTGAGAATCTGTTAGGGTCACTATACAAGTAAACGGTTCTCAATATAATCCTGAATTCCATAATATTGCATGAAAAAAACATCCTTATAAGCTGTTTTACAGGGAAATTAAAGACATCCATATTATTTTGTTGGACAAAAATGATTGAAAATCAAATACATGCCATATGTATCACTGCTTTACCAATTTGATACCTTGTCTTTCGTATTATGGCATGTAAACTTTTGAGGAACTGTCTTGAAATCCCAGTCATGTTTTGTCGCTTGCAAGACACTTGACATAAATGGGACGTGCATCATTTCATGTTCATCCTCTGATCCCCCCGCCTCCACAATTAGTATCGAGGATCCTAAATCTTCCGAAAGTCTGTTAGCAAGAACGCAACCTGCAGTTCCCGCTCCAACTATTAAAATAATAAATTTACTTAGAGAAATGAATATCGATATTTAATACATGAAATTGGCAAACATGAACAAACGAACATGTTATTAAATAAACATATCTCAAAAACAGAGCAGATGAAAGTGTTAACCTGGGTATTAACAAAATACAAAAAAAAAAAAAAAAAAAAAAAAAAAAAAAAAAAAAAAAAAAATGAATTAATACCTATTATGTAGCTGAAATGACTGTTTATCACTTTATTTTCTCCACCCTTTAAATCAGTTTTTGCAATTTCTTGCATATAGTAGTAGTACAGCAAAACGGCAAAAAACATCCAAAAAATAGTCCACCTATGTTCCAAAACACAACCGCAAATGCCAATCCAAAACGCAATGCCCAATAAGGTGTACGCAATTGAAGAAAACAGCCCAACAAAGTAGTCCACCACATGCCTAACTTTCCCTACAAATAAACATAAAAGAAGTATGAGATAGATCTAGAAACATAAGTTCCATTAGGGTTATCTTTCTATTAGGTTGTATTTTATTGGTACTGTGTATACATTAGTAAAAACCTTATGAAAAAAAAAGATTCATACCTGTAACGTAGTTGTATATACTGGTAAGAACACTTTGAGTTTCTTCTTCTGATTCATTCTTTGCATACCAATAATTGTACACAAAAACAGCAATCAGCGCCCAAAAAATAAATGATGCTAATGTCATGTCTATCTATACCTACAAATAAAACCGGGACTAAAACACGATAGTACAGAAAATGACAAATTCTGAGTTCATAGGTTGCAGGAAGAGATAAATCTCCAAGTGCTTTTCTTTCTTATTTACGCCGTTACCTTTATGCCTCAAAATTTTTTGAAGAGGACGTATTCTGTAAAATCACGAAAAGAAAAACGAATGAAACACCTGCTTATTAAGTAAAAAGGTAAAATAATTATGTCTACAACATAGAACTTTATTTTTTATTCAAGGTTTTTCAATATTGATACATGAATTGTAAAGCATTGCATATTAAGTGATTAAAAAAAAATGGAAAGATTTACAATGGTGAGATACAAAAAAAGGAGTCTGCAATGTTTTGATAATTGTAAAATCTGATATTAGCACGTTAGCAACCGAAATATCCTAAAATGTTATACAATTTATGCACACATTTTCAAAATGTCTGGCACAATTCGAGTCTAACTTTATGAACGAAAGAAATATTTTATGTTTTCTCAATTAGAAATGTAAATTACAATTATTTGTCTCAAACCCTTCATTTTCCACTGACGTAGCTCTCGTGAAATATCCTTCTCATATTGCATACTTTTTGCTGATTGTAAAATGCACAAAAAATATCCACCTTCTCTAACCCACTCATAGTCGCCCGCGTGGCGCAGTGGTTAGAGCGTCTGCTCTAGAGTCGCGGAGTAAGGAGTTGATCCTTACGTCGCGGGTTCGAATCCCACTGTGGGACGTGGAGACCGGTCCTTCGGATGAGACCGTATAAACCGAGGTCCCGTGTCGCAGTAGGTGCTGGCACGAAAAAGATCCCCCACTGCTCAATGGCCGTAAGAGCCGAGTATAGGACAAAATTTGCAGCTCTCCACCGGCAAGTGGTGGCATCTCCATATGAGTGAAAAATTCTCGAGAGGGACGTTTAACAACATACAAACAAACAAACAAAAAACTAACCCGCTCATATTATATTTCATTATGTTTGTGAATTTTCGTTACTTTAATTCAAATATTTATCTCCTGGGCGCTTTAGCTGAAATATTTTTCAATTTAGGGGATCAGGGAGATTGCCCTGATAAATTTCTCTTTGGTATTAAATTGAATTAGATGACCAAGAAGCAACGGAGGGTTTGACCGGTTCACAGGGGACACTCCCTCCGCCATGGCACCTGATCTTACCTCTAATGTTTTAGAGGTCCCTGTTTGCTCGGTCCCTGATTTGTTTGAATGGCCTTTTGAGCTTGAATACTGTTCGTTATCTCCATTTATTTCCTTTCAACCCTGCTCTCCCTGATCAGTGTAATAGGTATCTTTGCCTTTTTTCGAAAAGAAATCTTTTAAAAATTGAGCTGATAAGAGTATTATAAAAGCACCTGTGTTTAAATTGTCTCATCTACATGTTTCCCACCGATAACAAATTAATTTTGTTCTCGCATTCTAAAAAAAATCCAAATAGAGAATATTGGCCCAAAATTATTTCAGCACGTTACCTTTCCATACACAATATATTTTTATTACTAATTCATTAAGAAAAAAAAAATAAGAATAATACTTAAAACATTATAAATATCTTTTGTCTCTCTCTTTCTTTTTTTTTTTTTTTAGATATTGCCTCCTCTCATTAATTGGAAATCTTGGATCCACCTGCCGTTTGAAGAGTAAACACCCTTTGACAATTAAACATTCATGTTACATCGTTACATAATTTGCCCTTTCACATGATTAAATGACAATTAGAGATATGTGTCTGACAAAAATGTTTAAATTACCTGTTTTCTTTTAAATACTAACCTCACTAATGGTATAGAAAGATATATCCATGAAGGATTGTAGGGTATATATAAGCTACCTACATAGAAATAAGGAAGGAGTTCATTAACCGTGAAAACAGCTATCTGATATCCTACCTTTGTTGATCTGCTACTTCGGTATATCTCGTCATGTTCAATCAACCGGAAAGTTGGGCGACCATTAAAGCTTCCCTGTGTGTAAGATTGTTACTCATGATTCATTTATCCAATTTGATCTTTACTCTGTTTTTAGAGGTCCGAGTTTCCTCTGCTCACATTCTATATTCTGAAGTTGGATCTTTTGGGAATGATTACTGATCTGTATCTGTATTTAATTATACTCAAAAAGGTAAAGGCATTGGCATTTAAAAAAAAAAGAACGTTTTGCTTCATTTTATTTTACTTGCATGTTAGTATGGATTAATGTTCACATTTTGAAGTATACTTTCACGGCCCCGGTCCTTTTGCATCCTCCCCTCAAACAAAGTGTGACAGCATCATACATGCCTGGGAATTTGACATGTCAGTACAGTTTACAATCCTAGTCTCAACATATATTATCGTATGTTACTTTACATTATGATGGAAGTCAGACGAAAAAGATTTTTGATCAAGACTTTAAGAATAAAAACAGAACATGAGAAAATCGACGCTAATTTATTCATTGAATTTGATGAAATATGGATATAACAAACAGTAATCAAGCTCAAAAGTCCTTTGAAAGAATATAAAGTAGGAGCAGAGCTAACGCCATCAGATCTGGAGTTGGGATCAGGTACCATGGAAGATTAAGCATACACTGTACACCGGTCTCACCCGCCGTGCGCTTCTTGTCATGGTCTGACAAACAGAATATCTGTAGACAGTTAAGTGTGTAAATAATGTCCTAACAATTGGTGTGAAAAAGGTCAGTCAGCATTCCACTTCATGTTAGATTGTATTGTATTTGCTGACAATGGCACATTTTCAGGAATAAGACCACAGAAAACATTAAAGTCATTTGTATTAAGGCTGAAATTTGTAAAGCATATCTTGAAAAAAGGAATTGTCAACAGTATCTATCAAAATAACATTTTTCATGGTAATAAATAGGCTCATGGTGTTGAACGATATAACATTAACACAATGTACGCCGATTATTATGTTTGTTTGATGGTAAAGGATTTGTTTCCTTATTAAATTCTTTTACTTCCGTTGTTATCAGTGTACTTGTCTGTCCTGACAATTGAAGGTTCCTTATAACAGATTTTTTTTTTTCATACAACAATATTATTAATTAAAGAATTTATTTTTGGTTAGCATAGCGCTGAAGAACTGAAAGTAAGAAAAGTAAATAAAATAATATGAAATAAAAATTGAAATAAAACAGCTAGGTGCATTTTGCAGATGTCTTATCTACATGTAGATATCTTCAAATTCGATTAAATACGGCAGTACATCCTTAAAACTCCATCCTTCTGCTCACTTTTTGCCCACCTGTCAAAATAATGGCGACTCGATCCCTCTTATCTGGTGCATATGGTTTATAGAGCTTGATCCGCCTAGGACACACCATCTTGGCCTTGTACATTTTTGTCTCTGTCAAGAGTAGGCATGTACAAAGAAATTGATAATAAAGAGTGAATCATAGCCCTTAATTTATTAAGAACAATAAGAACATAAAATATTTTGATTAACGAAACTCAAGTCAATTTTTCAAAAACGACCAATGACTGACGGATTTTGATTCAAAAATGGGATTTTATATTAGTTATATTCTTTCTGCTTTGGTGGCTGATTTCTTCAATTAAAGCAGGCCCTCACGGTAGCTCAGTCGGTAGAGCGCTCCCTCAGTGATCGGAAGGTCGTGTGTTCGAATGAAGGCCGCGACTGACCTAAGACGATGCAAAAATAGGTAGAAACTGTTCCTTCGCCAAACGTTCGACACTTTGAAGAAAAAGTTGTGGGTCTTCCGGATGATACAGTCCCTGAAACGTTCTACTTTCCCACTTGAACGGTGAGCGAACGGTGAACGAACCCTGAACGAACGCAGAGCGAACGGTGAGTGAACGATGTGTAAACGCTGAACGCAACTTGGTGAACGATGTGAGAACGGTGAACGAACGCAGAACGCAAACGCAAACGCATAGTGAACGGTGAACGAACGGTGAACGCAAGATGAACGATTTATCTGCAATGCTTCTGATCTTTTCCTTTCATTGAAACCATTCTATTGTATTCTAATGTCAAGTACCAAAAAAATAAATAAATAATAAATAAATAAATAAATCAATGATTAGATAAATAAATGCTACAACATTTTCTTAAGAAAGACGATACATGCACATTAAGTATCTTTCTTGTATGATGTTTAAATTCAACTTTTTAATCACACGATTTTTATCGCTGTAAAACATTGTAATTGTTACCGAACGTTGTAGTATAAAAGATAAAATTATTTTAGTTGAAAAATAAACATGTCTATTCTTATTTGATATAAATAACCATTACAAATAAAAGAAAACTTCTGACTTATAGAATGAATTGCAACGATTATAACATCCATTCATATATTTCCTTGCCAAGGCGATTCCGTGTAAAATAATGAAAAAAAAATAACAAAGGTCTGTGGACGTATTTGCCTTAATGAACTCGTATTTTAAATTCTTAATGCAATAATATATTTATGTGTCATTTCTCTATTTTTCATGATGATTTATTAAGCATACTTCTACATCTAGACATTTCTCCGTGATTATACTCAGACAAGATAATACAAAGAGGCATATTCATA